GAAACAATCTAGGATTCCCAAGTAGGTAGATAGCTTTCAGAATTTTCCTAAGAAAGATAAAAGGGACCAAAACAGTCCACTCCACACTGGAAAAGCTTCAGGAAAACATGAAATATGAGGAATATTTCTTTTCCCTCCCATTAAATGATGTTTATGGTTGGCTGGGTAGATCAAAATGCTATTTGCTTTCACATGAAACGGGTAACACAGAAAATAATAATTTCTCAGTTCTCAGTAGTTAACCTTCTTAAAGGTTAAGAAAACTCATTGTTTTCTGATTTCTTTTTTAGGAAGTAGGGAACAAAGCATGCCTGTGGTCCTAGCACTCAGTGGCTGACACAGATGGATTACTTAAACCCAGGAATTTGAGACCAGCTTGGGGTAACATACTGAGACCCTACCTCAGAGAAACAAAACAAAACAAATGACAGCATCTGTTGAGTCCACAACAATACTGTCCAGATGTATTCCAGGCTAAACTCCCCAATACCACTCAAATTTATGGAGTCCAGTCAACATTTGTTCAGCACCTGCTTCTCTCTTATTTTCTACATGTGTCCTAGAGCCTAGAAGTGGGCCTCATTAAATGTGTAGCACGGGTGAGTATTGCAAGTTCACAGAAGAAGAAAAAATGATCAGGTGAGTATGAGTTGTCAACTTAGAGCAGGAATCCAAAAATACATCCAGGCACCAATGAAAACATGGATATGCCAAACTCAGGCCTGGAATGCACAGTAGGTTTTGTCTACTACCTTAGATATACACTAGACAAGACTTGGGGAAAGGCACAAGGGCGTGTTTGTAATTGCTTCCTTCCTAGGTCAGTTCCCTGTTCGGGCTGCCTTTGTTAGGAGCTGGGTAGAAACTTTTTGACAGCCCTGGCTACAAGAGGGACTCTCCAAATGGGGCTTTCCCACATCAGTCCCACTGCTCTGCCCCCCAATTCACTACCCAAAAGCTCCAAGTGAGGATGTGGCTCCAGTGGCAGAGAGTTAAGTTTTGAGAAAAAAAAATGCTCAAGGGCAGCAGCCAAGGCCCTGAGTTCAAGGCCCTGGACCAGCACCAAAAAGAAAAGAAAAGAGAAATTAAGTGAATTAGTTGAGGTGATTTTTGTAAAAGTCTTCATCGAGGTAGAACATGGGTGCCATCCATGATGGGCGCTGAGCTACTGACTTCTTACTAGCAAGTCGTCCATGAGCAGGGAAGTTAAAAGATGACCTTTCTTCCACTGGGATGGGGGCGGTAGAGGAACCAGTGACTTACTGGTGGGGACTCAGGAAAGACAGGGACAGGAGAAGACCGGCCACGGTCAGGGAGGACCAGGAGGGCGCGGGGGCGTGGTCCGGCGGGGCAGGGGGACCGCCTCGGCCCGCTCGATCCCGCAGCAGCCCCAGCCTGGAGTCGGCCCGCCAGCGTTGGCAGCGCGCACAGGGGCGC